TACACATACATATATATATGTATATATATATATATATATATATATATATATATATATAGTACACATATTGTAGCTACAGCTTATGGTGAATCTATCTATCCATCTAGCTATCCATCCATGCATCCATCTCTCTCTCTCTCTCTCTCTATCTCTCTCTCTCTATCTGTCTATAGATATGGTGGTATAGATGGTATAGGTGGTGTAGGTATATGGTGGTTATCTATATCTCTATCTGTCTCTGTTTCTACCTCTGTCTCTCTCTTTCTATCTCCATCTCTATCTCTATCTCCTCCCTAGGATGTAGCTACAATGTAGGAAGAAGATTAAAGGCAGAATATTTAGAAGTTCATAGCAGAAAAAAATCCAAGAGGGCACCCAGTGTTGTGAACCAGGATACTGATGGAATTAGGAAGAACTGAGTTAACACTTCCCCCAAACAAAACAAAATGAAACAAATAACCAGCTGAGACTATTGCAATCAAGAAAGTCCTGGTATAGTCCAGGCAGTTTAAGTTAATTTTGCCCCAGGTGTATTGATCTAGGTCCCAACAGTGGATTACTTGGGCAAGAAGAATATAAAAGCTGTTTGTAGGACTTTGCTCCTCAGAAACCAGGGGACCTCTTTGTCAACTGATTTTTATCTCCTTGCTTGTAGCTTTTAACTACCATTCTCCCTGCTGTTACTGGAATCAGTTTTTCAGTGGGAAGGACTGTTTGTTTGAATCCTTAGGTTCTGAGTGACCCATTGCACTGAATGTGGAATTACAACCCAGGATACCTAGCAATAAAACCCATGACCTCAAATATCTATACATGAGTATACAAGACATAAGTGTAGCGCCTGAAGCACCACCCTCTTACACATGGTTTCCCTGGAATAACTAACCCTAGTTCAAGACAGTCTGTGGGGACCATATCCAATCAAGTCAGTAGATCATGAGCCCCCACCAGTGTGTTTACTTTTTCTAGTGAGCCAGAGGACACAATCAGTTCAGAGCAAAGACGTTTAAAGAGAAGACTAATAAGATGCTCTGAAACAGAAGCCCTGCCTACCAGATGTAGGGCACACACTCTCTCACAAATATGCACACCATCAGAAGGAAGAGTGAACATGATGTGGGGAATGTGTGTGAGTGAGGGCATCTCATGTCTCTGGTGCTGAAGGACCCTTGACTTCTTCTAGTGATGTCATTAGACTGCTTTCACTAATTCTGCTCCTCGTTGGGTGAGTTCTTCCCCTGGACTCACTGGGGCCATTCTTCAATGGATATGGCATTTACATTCAGCCTGCCCATTGCTAAGTACACTGCTTTGCTGAACCCTGAAGTATTTGTCTCCTCACCTTCAGTTACCTAGGTCATGGTGGCTAAAATCTCTCCCTAGTAAGGAGAGACACACAGCTCTTTATTAAAACCACCCCACTTACCGAGCAAAAATTAAGTGGGCTGTCCCCACTCTTTCATTTTCAACCCTTTGTCTAAATCAAAGATGAAAGCCTTCTTAGGGTAGCTAGGTGGCACAGTGGATAAAGTATTGGAAGGGATGTGGAAAATTGGGACACTATTGTTGGTGGAGTTGTGATTTTGGAGAGCAATTTGAAACCATGCCCAAAGGGTTATAAAACTGAATATTCTTTGACTCAGCAATACCACCACTAAATTTGTATCCCAAAGAGATTTTAAAAAAAGAAGGACCTGTATGTATAAAAATATTTCTAGCAGCTCTTTTTGTGGTGGCAAAGAATTGGAAATTGAGGGGATGCCCATTAATTGGGGAATGGCTGAACAAGTTGTGGTATGTGATTGTGATGGAATATGATTGTGCTATCAGAAATGATGATCAGGATGGTTTTGGGAAGACTTATATGAACTGATGCAAAGTGAAGTAAGCAGAACCAGGAGAATGTTGTAACAGCATATCAGTTAACTGTTAACTATAACAGCAATATTGTGTGATGATCAACTGTGAATGACCTAGCTATTCTCAGCAATACACTGATATGAGACAATTCTGAAGGACTTATGATGAAAAATGCTAAGGCCTCCAGACAAGGAATGGATAGATTCTGAATGCAGATCAAAGCATACTTTTTTTTGCTTTATTTTTCTTGGTTTTTTTTTTGTTTGTGTGTTCTTTTATAACATGACTAATATCGAAATATGCTTCACATGACTGCACATGTATAATCTATATCAAATTGCTTGCCTTTTCAAGGGGTAGAGGAGAGGGAAAGAGGGAGAGAATTTGTATTCAAAAAATTTTTTTAAATGCTAAAAATTGTTTTATACATAATTTAAAAATTAAAAATTAAAATTAAAATATATACTTTAATTTATTTCATTAAATATTTCCCAATTCATTAAAATAATATTAGCATTGATTTTTAAAAAAATTTTGACTTCCAAATCCTTTTCCTCCCTCCCCCTGCCTCTCCCCCACCTTTTGAGAAAGCAAGCAATGATATTGATTATACATGTGAAATCATGCAAAACATATTTCCTCATTAGCTATGTTTCAACAGAAAACATGCAAAAAAAGAAAAATTAAATTTAAGAAGTATGCATCAATCTGCATTCAGATGAACTAGAAATTTTAATGAAAGGAAGCAAATTTGACATCATAGCTATCATTGAGACTTGGGGAGATGAACTCCATGACTCTGGAAGAGTAATCCTGAATCAAAAGGAATAGAAGAAGAGAAAGATGGGAGGGACCACTGAATGTTAAGATGTATGCCTGGAACAAATCCAAGCTCAGAGTAGGAAAGCATGGTGGAGAGCATTTGGGGGAGTGTCACTAGAAATAGAAATGACATTGTCATCAGAATAGGCTATAGACCACCTGAACAGAAAGAGGAAAATTAGGGGTTTGGAGAACAGATAGTAAGCCCGAAATGGAGGCATGATATGGAAGTGTTGGGAGATTTCAAATATCCAGGCATCTGTTGGAGTTCTTTCTCTCCCTAGCAGAAAAAGAATAATTTTCTGGGCTTTGCTTAATGATTACTTTCTCTTTCAAAAGATCATATTATTATCCTCATTTGACAGAAGAGGGGAACTGAGGCAGTAAGGTGGTATAATGGTTAGAGTGCTGGATTTGGAATCAGGGAGACACAAGGTAGAATTCAGTCTCAGACAGTTACTAGCTGCATGACCCTGGGCAAATCATTTTAACCTCTCTTAATATATCACAATTTCCTCAAAGTGTGAAATAGAGATAATGATAGCACCTACCTTTCAGGGGTATTTGAAGATCAAATGAGATGATATTTGTAAAGCACCTTAAATCTCTAAATAACTGCCAGTTATTGGTAGCAGGGAATGTCTTATTTTTCTATTTGTATCACTAGTGCTTAGCACAGAATAAGTGCTTAATAAATGCTTCATTTATTGATGATGATGATGATGATGAAGAAGAAGAAGAAAAACCAATTCTGACCAATAAGGTGGAATTCACTGCTGAGGTAGAAATGATAAGATTCCTAGAGAGAAGGGACCAGTCCACCTTGTGATAGAGGAAAGGGAAGCCAGACACAGGCCGACCTGCACTTTAAAGTTCTGTATACCACATTCCAAAAAGTCCAGGGTAATGACCCCATGAACTGAAATTCTGCAAGGAAAGCCAACTCTCAAGAATGAAATTCTTAAGATATAAAGAAATGTTTTGAGGAGAGAAAAAGAGATAGGCGAATTATGTAAAGCTGTTCCAGCCATAACCCAATGAAAACCAACTGGCAGAATATAAACAAAGATATCGAGGAAGATCTATGTGAAATAATTCAAAGTGAAAAAAAAAAAAGCAGAGCCAGAAGAATAGAGGATACACTATGACCATAAAAGAGAAAAATTAATGGGAATGAAAGAACCTAGCAAGGAATCCTGATGAGGACATGGGCAGTATGGATGCAGAATTTTTAAATTACATTTGTATATAATTTTTAAATTTTTAAAATATATTTAAAAGTTTTTAATTTGAATTCTTAATTTTTAAAATATATTTAAGCAGCAAAATTAACTAATTGAATTGCAAATAACTTCTAAGCCATTTTAGTTCATTGTATTGTTGTTCAATAAAACATTTTTTAAATAAAGATGAAATGGAAGATAGAGATGGAGGCAAGGGCAGGTAAGTGGCATGTCTCTGGAGTCAGTAAGTCGATTAGCATTTACGAAACACCTACTAGATGCCAGGCACTGTGCTAAGTGCTGGCGAAACAAAGAAAGGCAGCCCCTCCTCCCCACTCCACCACATACACAGTCCCTGCTCCCAAGCTCACAATCTAACGACGCGAACGTGCAAATAACTACGTACAAACAGGCTAAATTCAGGATACATTGGGCATCATCCCAGAGGGAAAGCACTAGGATTAACAAGGACTGGGAAAGTTTCTTGCAGAAGCTAAGCCGTTAGTTAAGACTCGAAAGAAGCCAGGGGCTGGAGGAGGGAGAGCATTCCAGGCATGAGGAACAGCCAGGGAAAACAACAGGAATCTGGAGATGAAATGTTGACGGAAGCAAGGATCCAAGTGGTCAAGAGCAAATCGGGGGATCAGAGGGTGTACAGTGGGGGTGGGGAGAGTAAATGGCAGGACGACTAAAGATCAGAATTAGCTGAGGCTGGTGAGAAAAGCTAAGGGCAAAAGTAAAGTGGGGCAGAAGCTCTTTTTCCCCTTAGCTCTATTAAGGGGTTCAAAGAAAGGTTAGGACACCTTCTCGAGGTGGATGGAATGATGGCAGTGGACAATAGAGAGAAGACAGAGATCTTCAACTCATCCCTGTTTTCTCTATCAAGGAGAATGATCTTTAGATTGGCAAGGACTAAACTAAACTGTATGCCAAGTGTGGCAGGAGCAGCGTCCTTACCCTGCCCCCATGCAAGGTGGGTTAATTTTTCCATAAAAGGCATTGCACTCATCTGCAAGAATGGATTGGCTCAGAGGATTAAGGTGTAAACCAGGAGGTGATTTAACTTCCTGGTTGTCTGACCACAAAACAGCCATGAGAAGCTCCAGGTGTGCTTGCATGGTGGGTGAATCATAGAGGACAACCCAGGTAGGGGACCGTTGCTGAGTCGAATTATCCTCCCTCAGTGCATACTGCCCAGAATGTTCTCTCCCACATCCCCTCTGACTCCTCCTTGGCTTCCTGGACTTAAAAGTCCCAACTCAAATCTCATCTTTGATAAGGAGCCTTTCTCAATCCCTCTGAATTCAGTGCCTTTCCTCTCAATTATTTCCTATTTATCTTATATATAGCTTGTCTCTATCTATCTGTTTGCTTGTTGCTTTTTCCATTAGATTGTGAACTCCTTGAGGGTAGCAACTGACTTTTGCCTCTTTCTGTCTCTAGTGCAGTGTTTATTGACTGTCTCACTGTGTCCAGAATAAAGAAGTTTATCATCCCCCCTCTTTGCTACCCATGTCAGCCCATTTCTCGATAATTATGTTTAGTTGTAGGCACCATATTTTAGGAAGAACATTGAGGAGATGATGGTGAAGGGCCCTAAGGCCATGTCACGTGAGGATAGGCTAAAGGAAGGAAGTGGGAGTGTTTAACCTAGGGAAGACTCAGGGTGAGTGTAGCATCTGTTCGTCATCTTGACGGATTTGAATGTGTCTCATGGCAAAGAGATCAGACTTGTTCTGCTCATATATGGGACCTGCAGAGAAACAAAGTTAGGTTTGTTTCCCTAACAGTTAGGCCTGTCTAAAAGTGAAACGGACGGCTTCTGAAGGTAGCCAGTGCCTTCTTCACACTGGTCCTCAAGCTGGAGCCCCAGTCCCCACGTCCATTGGTATGGGACTCTCTCCTCTCTCCCCCCTCACCAGCTCCACCTTGACCCTCAGGGCATCTCCACCAATAACAAGAGAGTCCCGCCCCCATGCGTTTTGGGACCAGGGTAGCATGGCAAAGGCTGGATAACTAGAGAACATTCATGTTAGGTATGGGTCAGAGTAGATGGCCTCTGACTGCCTTTCAGCTCTGAGATTCAGTGATTTTACAAAGGGATAAATGGGTCTAAGGAGATTCACTGGCTGGGACAATCGCTGTCCCTGGCCGTTCTGCTGGTTGCCTCTTCCTGTCACCTGTCCATCGGGCTTTAGTTTCCAGTGTGCTATGGGCTGATTCTCTTCTAAGATGCTCTTAGCATGCAGCCAGTATATGGATAGGCTGGGTTGTATGTGGGATCAGTGGGGTGTGGGTGCTGTGATGTTGGAGATGGCCATAATCAATGTGGGGAGCTATGCTTTGTGGGGAAGGCACGGTGCTCCAGAGGGACCTGCGACTTTTATGGAAGCCAGGGTATGGAGACAATGGCGAAACAGATCCCCAAAGACCCTAGATCACCCAGTCCAACTCCTCCCTAACTGCATAGGAATGCCCTGCACAACATTCTTGCCTCCACTCCGGTGACAGAAAACTCACTATCTCCCAATGCGGCCCGCTGCATTTTCAGACTTCTGAGGATGTTGGAATTTTCCTTTAAATCAAGACTAAATCTAATTCTCTACAACTTCCTCCCGTGGTTCCTAGCTCTGCTGCCTGGGGCCAGGCAGAAGAAGTCCAGTTCTTCTGCAGAACACCCCTTCAAACGAGCTTGAAAACAACCAAGTGTCTCCAAAGTCTTCTCTTGATTAAACATTCCCAGGTTCTTTCACTGATTTTCATGTGGCCTGACTTTAAGTCACTTCCACATCCTAAGCATCTTCTTCTGGACCATGTCCTTCTCAAAATGTGACCCTGCCAGAGCTGAATCCTGACATGCATTCACTAGGACAGAGGACAGAGGAACTAGGTTTTCCTTCATTCTAGACACTGGACCTCCCTTTATTATTTATTATTAAGAGCAATATATGTTCGTTGCAGAGAAACAAATTTAAGTTTGATGCATGGAAAACTTCCTAATAATTAGAGCTGTCTAAAAGTGAAATGATATCCTCACAAGGTAGCTAGTCTCCCCTCATTACTGGTTTTCTAGCTCAGTGCTTCTTAAACTGTGGGTCACCCATAACTGAATGTGGGGGTCTTGAAAAATTCAGCAACAGTAAAAGGTTTCTGAACATGCAAAGACCAAAAGTGAATTCAAAATCAAACGGGTAACGAATCTGAGGTGTTTCTGGCAGCACTCACCTGTGTTGCATCTTATAATTTCACTGCAGTCTTGGTTCTGAACACAAAGCATGCACACTTTGCACTGCACATGTCATCACACTGTGCAACACCAATGAATGCTCCAGAAACACCTAGGCTCAGATTCAAGACTATTGCATGTTATGAATTGCAGTGTTTTTACTGTATGTACAAAATTGTTCAACAAATTTTGGCTTGGGATTAAGATAGAATTTCCAACAATTTTTGAAATGGCCTTAAACATACTTCTGCCATTTTGTACCACGTATGTATGAGAAGCAGCATTCTTAGCAATGATGATTATAAAATCAAAATATTGATCAACTCTGAAAAACGCTGAAAATGCTCTGCATTCTTCAGTATCAAATAATCCCCCAAGATTTAATTCATTATGTAAAAATAAACAAGCATATCCATCTCATTAGTTTGCAAATTTGCTTTCATCTTTAATAAATGGTAAAATTATATGTATACCAAAGAATTATCTTAAAATAAGTTTCTTTATGATTTATTATCAGTAAATGTTTTATTTGTATACCTATTTTATATATCCATATACTTGGGCTCGTGTAAAAATTTGTCGGGCAAAAAGGAGTCACAAGAGGATAAAGTTTAAGAAGCCCTGCTGTAGCTGGAACGCCACTTTCCAAGCCCTTTGGTATGGGGACTCTCTCCTCCCTCCCACTCGGATAGCCTAAGAGAGCATTGGGGATTTTGGCTGCTTTTCAAACTGTTCACTCTCATTGAACTGGCAGGCCACCTAACCCCACCCCACCCCACTCCAGGCCTTTGTCATACAGACTGCAGTCTAGATATACCCCAACATGTTATGCTTTGTTTTGTACCCAAAAGAAGAACTTTTCACTCATAGGGATTACATTTCATCTCGAGATTCAGCTTGTATTTCTAGTCCAAGGGTTCTCAGCCTTTTTTGTGTCATGGACCTCTGACAGCCTGGGAAGCCTATGCACCCCTTTTCAGAATAATGTTTTTAAATGCTTAAAATAAAATACATAGGATCGGACAGAAAACCAACTATATTAAATACAGTCATCAAAATATTTCTTTAAAAATTAAAAAAATACATAGGATCAGAAAGAAAACCAACTATTTTGAAATACAGTCATCAAAATTGTCTTTAAAAATTAAAAAAATACATAAGATTGGAAAGAAAACCAACTATGTTGAAATACAGTCATCAAAATATTTCTTTAAAAAATTTTTTTCATGATCCCCAGGCCTGTTCTATTCCTGTTCTAGACTGCTAAGATCTTTATAGATCCAAGTGTGTGGCCAGAATGTTAATTTTCCTTGTAGTTCTGAAGCATTTGCAAATTCTATAAGCAGTCATCTGTGGCTTTATCCCAGTCGTCAACAGAAATGCTGACAAGCTTAGAGATCTCCTCCCAGGTTGACATCAATCTATTAATCTCTGTGCTTTGGGTCCAGTCATTGAACCAGCTCCAAATCTACTTAGCTGGCTAGTTCACAGATCTCTGTCTTTTCCAGGACTTTGCCAGTGCCTACTTGAAATCCAGGTCTGTTAACATTCTCCTGATCTGCTGGCAGTCCAATAACACTGCCAGAAAAGGAAACATGATTAATCTGGCAGGGTCTTATTCTTGAAGGGAAAAAAAAAAAAGATTTAACTCCTAACAGCAGCAAAACCAAAAAAACCCACACTTATAACTATTTATATATCAAAATGGATTCCTATGTACAATGCATTTAGCATAGCACATCAGAGTCCCTCCCTCAGTGTTTCCTCACATTTTCTGTTGCTTCATCTCTGTATTTGTGAAAGTCTTTTTCTTTGATATAGTACAGTCATGGTCAGTATACAACTAAATCCCAATTAGTGCAAGAATTTTTCCCCTGACTGGTCACATTATTCAAATTCGCACTACAGATTTCCATTGGGTTGGAACCAATTACTCTATTTTACATAATTGTAACTTTGAATAGGGAAGATTTGAATACATGTGGCCACTTCAGGGTAATAATTATCCGCAATAATTGGGACCTCACCGTCCATCCCTGTCTTCCATTTTTTTCTTTGTTTCACCACTTTCTGAATTCTTTCATATTCATCATATAGACCATTATAATGCCATTGTGATGTTCTATTACATTAATATAGCATAGCATATTCAGCCATTCACCTACCCTTAGATATTTAGGTTGCTTCCAGCTTTTTGAAATCACTATGTAGATAGAATAATAAATATAGTAATAGCTAACATTTATATAATCTTTAAGATTTACAAAGCACATTACAAGTATTTTACCATTTGATCCTCACAACACCCCCGGGCAATAGGTGCTATTGTTATCCCCATTATACAGATGAGGAAACTGAGATATATAGAGTTTAAGTGACTTGCCTGGGGTACAGGTAGAAAGTGTCTGAGGCTAGATTTGAACTCAGGTCTTTGTGATTCTAAATCTATTCACTGTGCCATCTATTTTTTTAATTAAGATAATATTCTTAGATTATATTTTCAATAATGAGATTATTAAGTCAAAAATGTATGTTGGTTTTTATGACTCATTGCCTCCCCACAGATTGCCCTTCAAATAGATTTTACTGATTTGTAATTCCAGGAACAATGTTTGTGTGACTGTTTCTCCACAGCCATCGGCATTAATTTTTGTCATTCTTAGTTCTTTCAATTTGATGGGTATGAAAGTGGTACTTGAGAGTTGGTTTAATTAGCATTTCTCTGCTTATTAATGAACTCAGAGGGAGGTAGTGTGGCTAAGTGGATAGAGACGTCCTTGGAGTCAGGAAGACCTGGCTCTAAGTTAACTTCTGCGTGACCCTGGGTGGTAAACTGGAAACAACTAGACAAGGTGGTGATTGGACAATTCAGCTAACCTTCCAAGGCATTTCTCTAAGACCATAAGATGCAGAGGAGGTA